TCACACATCCATGTTTCTCTCCCTATCTTTCTCCCTCCTTTACCCTCTCTAAAAGTGAATAAATAAAATCTTTAAAAAAAATTCAGAATGTGCAGCGCTGAAGCACAATATCAAAGGGCCCCATTTTTTGGCCTCTGCAGTCACACTGCATGGGACCATGCACTTTTGAGAATATAATTGTCTTTTATGTTTGTATTAATTGTAACTCAGAATGAAATATTCATATATCATCCCCTCAGAAATATTCATATGGCATTTATACTAGAAAAAAAGATTTGTGTAGTAGCAGAATTAGAATATCTCACCTAAAATTTGAAAAAGTAATTAATAGTGATATTGATGAATATTATCACTCTACATCTTAAAAATCTCTAGATATGTTTAATATTTTTCATTGTGCCTGGAATATTAAAATAGAAAATCTCATGTGAAACCAGCCTTCAGAGGTTTCATTCACTGAGATTTAAATGAAGCTTTTTTTGTTGTTGTTAACAAGTATCTTTGTCCCTCCTTTTACAATGTCATTTCCCCTTTTGAGACCATCTGGAATTTGTCTATTTTCCAGTATTTAATAGGCACCGAAGTAATCTCAAAGAAGTCACCATAAATTTCAAGAAGGTTTAAACATATTCTAAAAGTTACAAATTAAGTGCATCACAAAAGTCCATCTGCTGTGATTAGTCAGTCACATTAACCTCAGATCAAGTTCACAGTTAAAGAGAATTTCAGATCTGGAAGGAACCTTATCCATTTTGATGACTAAACAAGGAGACGCCATGATCCATCCTTCACAAGAGTTCAGGCAAGATTCACGCAGAAACTTTACACCATCAGTCATTCTTATTCATTCACTCATTTATGTTCTTCGGCTCTCATGTTTCTTTTTAAAATATATGCATGAGTCTCCTTTTACCAAAAACACAGAGCACTGTCCCTATCAAGTTACCAACTCTACCTTTTTCTTTATACATAGATTTCTTGAATGAGTTGTCTGTCTGCACTCAGATACTTAGCTCTCAGTCACTCTGCATCCCCTTCAATTTGGCCTCTGACCATGCTCAGAATGCTCTCTCCGAGGTCACTTATGACCCCCATGCCACCACACCTGATGGCCTTTTTCAATTCTTGTATCTTGACTGACCTCTCTGAAGCATTCTGTATCCTTGACCATTCCTTCCCTTGGCTTTGAGGTTTTCCTTCTCCCTTTCTGATGTCCCCTTCTCTGATTCTTTTGAAGAATCATTCTCCTCTAGTTGGCCATTAAAAGTCAGCATTCAAGGTGACTTCTCTACACCTGTGGCTTCATTTATTAGAGATGACTCTCAAATATATAGAGAGTGATATACATACAGATATGTGTACACATACATGATACCTATATATGTGTGTATATACATGTAGATATTAAGTAGATGCATATATGTGTGTCTGTGTTATACGTACATATGTAAGTAGGTGGTAAGTAGGTTGGTAGATTGAGAGTAAGTCAGTAGAGAGGTTGGTAGATACACAGATAGATTGATAGGTATCCTAGTCATTTATTCTGGAGCTTCAGATCTATATTTCTGCCTGTCAAAGGCTTCTCAAATTCATTATGTCTACAACCAAAGTCATGGTGTTTCCTTTAACCCAATCTTAGCTCTATTCTAGGGTTGTCAATCTGTGTGAACAACTTACCACCCAAGTAATTATGACAGGCCAAACCCCATAAGCCTTCCTTACCTCCTTGTTGCGGCATCTAGCCCATCATTAGTCCTGTTAATCCGTATTTCCTAAACATCTTCCTAATTTGTTTAGCTCCCTTCTTCATCCCTCCTCCCCAGTTGTAAGCCGCCGTCATCTTTGACCTGCACTGTTACAGTGGCCTCCTACCTTGTTCATCCACATCTGCTTGTGCTGTCTTTGATTAATTCTTCAGCCAGTGGAAAGAAGGATCTTTCTGAAACTCAAATCTAATAATGCTGCTGCACAGAGCCCTTCAGTGTCTTCCCATTGCACCTATAGCACGGCGGGATGCTTTGCTATATCCTGAAAGATTCTCTGTCTTCTGCTCCCTCTCTCTCAAGCCTTATGTTGTTCAGTGCTTCTCCCTTGTTCCCTCTACTGGACATACAGCTGTCTTCCTATCACTCATTTTCATCATCATCATCATCATTTTTTTATTCCCCCATCCCCTGCTGATGTGCAGAGCTTGTCTTAAGCACCAGCTCCCTAAGGGCATCCTTTCCTAACCTCGCCTGCAGTCAACCCCCTTCTAATGCACTCTAGGAACCGAGATTTAAAGGAAGCTTTTTTTGTTGTTGTTAACAAGTATCTTTGTCCATCCTTTTACAATGTCATTTCCCCTTTTGTCATTCCCCAAGCTCTCCTTCAGCTGCAGCTTTGCATTTATTCGTGAAATTATTTGATTATTTACTTCTCTCTCCTACATGTTTATAAGCTTTATAAGGTTCATAAGGGCAAGGAAGATGCCTGATTTGTTCAACTTTGTATCCCAGTGTTTATCACAATGACTAGTATATGATAAGTGCTCATAAAGTATTTGTTGAATGAATGAATAAATGAATAGCAGCACCATGTCCAAATGAAGCAGATTTGTAAAGTCCATACGTTCGTTGAGTAAAGGGGTACAGTAGAGAAAATAGGAGAAAACCAGACATAACAGAGCCCCTTTTATGTGCCAGGTAGTTTACACACATTTAGATGGAAACAGGAATGGTCATGGATAGTTTTGTTTTCTTTTATATTTCCTTAAAGGGGTTTTTACATGAATGACCCAGGTGGCAATATTATCTTCAGTGATTTCATATGTTATGAAATATGTCTGTGATATATATTCTATTTTTTCCATTAACATATTTTAGCAATTTTCAACTCGCATGGCTGGATATTGGATTTAAGGAAGAAACAAGATTTGGATTAGAGGTGATTAACACCTCAAGTGCCATTGCCTTCTAAGGTCACTTTAAGACATTGTTATAAAGTGTCACTTAAGACACTTTAAGACATGTGTTAAGTATCTATCTGTACTCGTATATGCTAGACACAGCTGCTTGCTTTTGACTTTGTGTGTAGCATGTGGTTCTGAGTCCTAGTCATAAAAGGCACAGGAAATACCTTTTTTAATTATGGTAATGGTGCTTTTCCATAATCTGAAAGTATGTGAATGCAGTTTCATATGAGGGAATAAGGAATAAGCAGACTATAGAGTGGACAATATCCACTGCTGCCCTTCTGAGTCTCCTAAAACTGTGCCTCCCCATGTGTACTGACTCTGTTTACACTAAACGTTAGCCACCACCAGAGCCAACCCTTCACTGGCCCCTTAGTTCTGATCTAAGCCTGTTAGACTCTAACCACATTGAATTGGAAACATCTTTGAGAACTAGAGGTATGTAGAAGGGCAGGCGGATGTACTGGTGTGAAACTCCAGGATGCTGCCTGGGAGCGTGCTCTCACCTGTAGGCGAGAGGTGGGTGACTGGGCCTCACCAGAGACAGCAGGCTCTGTCCAAAGGAAGCAGCCATGGAGCCCAGGTAGTTTTGCCAAGAGGCATCACAGATCTACTGACACTGTATCTTCCAATTTTTGAAGAGGATCCAGAAAGAAATTTAGACTTTTATGTGAAAACTGTGGGTTTTTAACTGCTGCCAACAAATTATTTAAACATTGCACATAAAATATAAAGCCACACCTGTGAGCCGCATCTTTGTTCTGGCCACCCATTTCTGACTCTGGTGCAGATTCTTCATCCCAACTCTCCAGATCCTCACAGGCCATTTCTCTGTCATCTATCTAATATGGATTCTTGCCACTGTTTCTGGTGTCCAGCATTTTGGGTGGACTTTGCTCCCTCCCCTCTCCAGACGCAGCAGGCCTGTTCTCCTAAGTCAGCCCTTCCCTGTGGTTACCCCATATTGGAACACCTCTTGCCCTCTAGCCCTCCAGGGAGACCCAGATTATAGGTTCCTGGGTGCAAAAGTCTGCCCCGCCTACTGCAGCCTGGACTTGCCACATGGATGCTGGACACCTCATCACACGACATCCTTCATGGTTGACTTCTAGTGGGTGTGTCTTATCTTCACAAATCAGTTGCATTTTTTTTCTGGGCAAAGAATGAACATGGGGGTCATTCTGAGGCATGGTAGACTCGCAGGTGTTAATAGGACCAGATAAGATAGTGAATCTCTTCTGGAACATCATTTCCCTTAGATGCCTCCAGTGACAGGTAGCTCACTGCCTTCCCTGGCTCCTGGGCCAACTTCGGACAGCTCCGACCTTTGAAAGTGTTTGGTTAATTACTTTGACATTTGGTGCCCAGGCACAGTGGTTTTGTTACTCCTGGGCATTTACATTGACTTCTTTTACCCCTTGTGCAGTCATTTTCTGAATAAGCAGGACCCCGACCAACCAAAAGGGGTTTTCTTATGTGTCTAATTTGACCATCTCAGTTTTAACAGAATTTAACAGGAAGCTGTGTTTTTGCATGGAAATAGACACTATATGTACACAGTTTCTCTGCTGTCAAATTATGAGTGAGGTTTTAATAGTAGTTGCCAGTACTTTGTCATGTTTTCATTTGAAAGCACTTTCCTTTTAGATTCTTGCTTTTACTGGCGTTAATAAATATTTCCTATATTTGTGACCATGTGGTTTGCTTGGTATTAGATATCTTTGAAGAACTAATTTCCTTTTTTCCTCAACTATCAAAAATATAATTATCTACATATTAAGTTTTAAATCCCATATTTTAATGCTTGGATCCATTACTTCTACCTTGGGTAACATGAGCACTGTGATACTTGACTATAAAAATAAAAGTATTTGCACATTTAAAAGTGGCTTATGAAAGCAGACTTATGGGACTGAATCTTTCCCTTATTATTGTTGTTTTATAGTCCACTGGAAATTGCATTTCAACTATAAAATTCTATGTTATGATGTTACCAGCTGACCAGTGTGCATGCTATAAACTCATTACTGTTTTTATGTGCTCTTAGGTGCCGTGATACTCTTAGGAAGAACCAATATGTTTCGTTTTAACCATCCAAAGGAGGCTGCCAAGCTCAGGGAGAAGAGGAAGGTGAGCTGTGTGCAGTCACCAGGAGGCAGCCCTGATCTGGGTGGGGCTGTGGCCAGGGGCATCTCCGCTCTGGCTCCAAAAGTTTGAATTTCTGGAGTACAAAACCACAAGAGTTCTGTAGTCAGGCTTGATTGTGGGGAGTTTGTTTCATGGCACATTATTGGCCAATGAAGTGGGAGGGTGAACCAGTAAAGTTCAGAGCAGAAGGAGACTAGCTTCTTCTAGACCCTTCTCTTCAAATTTTTGCCCTCACAGGAGTTGGGGGTCACGTGCATTAAGGGGAGAGTGACTTCCACTTACAAACATCTTTTAAGAGTTAACCTATTATCAGAATCACTTCTGTTCAAAAGTTTGCTCATTTTTATTTATTTGGTTGTTTCTTGGGGGACAAAGCAGAAAGCGAGCTTAGGACAATTGGGAGAGACTTCCTCTTGGTTGGGTAGGGCTATCCAGAGGGCACTGAATGGGGGAGGGGGGTGGAGGACCAGAGAGACAGGGGAAGGAGTGAGAGGGAGAGAGATCTGTGCAGAGACAGTGTGCTGTCCTTAGACCGAGGAAGATAATGAGGACTGCAGCTAGCATTTCTGTAATCACGGCACTGCAGGGAACGTCCACATATTTTCTACTTTATCTGTGCAGCAGCTGTTACTAGCTCCATTTCACAGACGATCGAGATGAGAAACTGAGACAAACTTGTTCCACAGCCAGTGACTGGGGTGTCAGTGATAACCCTGACCTGCCAACCCGGATGTGTTTGCCCTTCATCCCCGAGTTGCGAAGCCCCACATCTTAGCATACTTGTAAGGACTGCCTGAGGTCGCCAGTACTGTAGATGGGAAACAAGAAAGCTGAAAACCTCAGCCTTCTTCCTCAGGCCAGTGAAGCCTGTAGCTCAGGGTCTCCCTGGAGGGTCCATTTTGATGCGCAGTTGCAGAAAATGTTTGCTAATAGCTTTCCATGGAAGCAAAACAGGTCAAGTCTTGTTTTTTGGTCTCCCTTCCCTCTCCCTGCTCCATCTCCATCACCCAGTACGTAAACCTGAACATTGCTGATGACAGGACAGTGCTCCTGCCAGGGAATGAGGGTGGCAGAGATGTCAGGACCCCTTCCCTCAGCTTGAATGCAGCATGGTCAGGGAGACCATCAGGGTGTGGAGCTACTGGCTGGTTTTCCCAGTTCAAGCATGCCAGGGCCCTCTGGTCTTTAGCTGAGGGCTTAAGGTTGAGACTGCCCTTGATTTGCCATCCTTAGAAAGGCCAGCTGAGAGGTGCATGAGAAGTGTCTGTGCCTCACTCTGTCTCACTCGTTGAGAGCATTGAGTCCACAGCACTGGCACTACCTGCGAAGGTAACCGTGTTGCCCTGTGTCTGCTCCTAGAGTGGCCTTCTGTCCTCCTTCAGCTTGTCCATGACTGACCTCTCAAAGTCCTGCGAGAACCTCTCTGCCGTCATGTTATACAACCCAGGGTGAGTGAACAGCAGCTTTTCCTGCCCCGTGACCATCACTGTTCTGTTGTGTATCGTGTCTCTCCTTTAAAGTCACTGGATAAAAGAAACCCTTTTGCAATCAGATCAGCCGTAGTCATTTTCCAGGTTCCTTTCTAGCTCTGGCTGTAGGTGTACATACTTTTACTTATAATTACAAAATAAATAAGAGTACATATTTTGATTTTTTTTTTTTTGCTAAACAGCATAATAAGCATTACTAAGAGTTTTTAAAAGATTCACTATTATTTCCATTACTGATGTTTGAGAGCTGGCACTTTGATTAGTCAGTGCAGTCTCTCTTTGGCTGAGGCCCTTTCTTCTCATGTTGTAAATTTATTGTAATAACAGTGACAGCTTTGATTCTGTGGGCATAGCATAGCACAGGAAATTATGTTCACAAATCCCAAGGACTGGGGGCCTCTGAGGACGCCAACAATAGTGTTTCAACGGACTTCATGGCTGGGTGACCTTACTCAGGTAAGCTTGATGGTTTCCTCAGTGAAATGGTGATAAAAATGAAAATACTTTAAAATGAGAAACTGAAAGAAAGGTCTTTAGGGACCTTTCCAGTTTTGTGAGTTTCTATACGTTTATGTTTCTATAAGGAAAATATGTAAAACAATGAAGGTAAATCTAGTAGCTAAGTGGGATAAAGCTAACAGCATCTTCTAGAGCTATCCTTTATTTAGTAGTTACTATATGCCAAGCACTGTGCTAAGCACCTCACTTCCATCTCTTAATTCTGAGGGCTCTTATCCCCATTTCACAGATAAAGAATTTATATCGCTTTGCTCGCCCGCAGTTTCACGGTTGGTGCTGTGGTATCAGAAGTCCAGGCCTTTCTGATTTCTAACCCACGCCCTGACCATGGGGCTGATTCAGACCTGTGGCCTGCTCGCTGCATTGCCCATGGCCCCTGTCTCAGCTCCTCACAAACACTGGGCGCAATGGCATGCCCTTCTGCAGCTCAAGTCAGTACTCTGATTCATGGAAAGCGGACAGGCCTGTAAGGAAATTCTTTATTTTTATAGGAGTTTAAACTTGAGAGGGGCCTTTGACCATGTCTCTAGATTTCTTATGTTACAGGTGAGCTGAAGCTCATCTTGCTTGAATTAAAAAAAAAATCCGGTTAGTGCGTCACCAGGGCTGCTGCAGGCTCCTGGGCCTCTCCCTCCTTCCAGTCCTTCCGAAAGTGAAAAAGCAAGCCGTTGAGTCCCTTGTGTCAGTTGAGGAGAGCGGTGCTTATTAAAATAAGTCTGTCTTGAAATAAGCCATATTTTAAAATCCCCTCAGAGCAGTGTTTACTGTTACTTTGGAAGGCATGTTTTGTTGTAGGTCTTTTATTCCTTGCAGTAGTTTTAGCAACTGCCTGTTAGAGTGACTGAGTTGAATTGTAACTGTGCAAACTGGAGCTTGGCCACTTGGTGCCTTGAGTTTACATGACTCAATGGTTTGTGTTAAAGGAAACAGTTTTTTTATTAACAGGCTTCCAACCTTGGGGGTGGCTGAAACTACTTCTGCTGAGAGCCGTCCTTTCCCATGAAACCCAGAACTTCCCTTGCTCCCCAAAAGGCTATAAGCCAAAACCATACTCAGAAGTTATCTGTCCACTAGCAGTCACGAAAACAGATCTCCGTCCTCTCCGATGTGCACTTGTGGGTCTCAGAGTCACCTTCCTCTCTCAGCAGCTCGCTCCTGCAGGGTCCGGGTACACTGCTCTCAGCCTTCATGGAGCAGTTCAGGAAACCATGTGCCACGTTACACTGCCCCAGATGCTGGAGCCCAGGGAGGCACATGTCCCAGCGTGGGACCCTGCCTCCGGGAGTGGGCGTCCAGCTCCGTGGGGTCTGAGTCCCTGGTGGGCCCTGCTTCTCCTGGTCCCATAAGCACTCCCATCCACACAGGGAGCAGGGCCAGAGGCCCAGAATGTCCAAATGCCAGAAAGCCAGAGGGAGAGGGCGTACACCAAGCTCTCAAGTCCCTATACCAAGAGTGACTTCTCCGTACGTCCTTCAGAGAAGCAGGAGTCTGCAGCTCAGCATTCCCAGTCAGAGTTCGGCTCCAAACAGCGCTTGTGCCTGTGCTTGGCCAGGCAGGCCCCCACAGCTCCGTGAGCTCTGCTGCTGTCTTCTGCAGACAGACGTCCAGGCAGACAGACCTCATGGCTAACTCACTGCAGACCTCTCTGCAAACCTCTGACTGCAAGTCTGACTCTGACTTTCTGACCTACTCCTATTCTGATTTAAATACTTGGCTCAGAACTTCCTTTGTGACCCTTCCTATGGTGTGTTAGTGCCTGCCATGGTGTCTTTGACCCTCTTTTGGCTGCCATCTTTAGTCTGGGCAAGAGTTCCTAGCGATGCACAGGCATCTGGGGAGGGCACCCACCCTGGCTGTGTCATGAGCCACTGCACATTCTCACAGTCACATACATGATTTTCCCTGGGCAGCAGTCTTCTTCCCTTCAGGAAGACACAGCTTTAATTTGCCTTTGTTATACAATGTATCTTAAATGCTGTGCCTTCCTCTCTTCCCTTCAACTAATCCTACCTGTAGTCAGGATTGTGGGGGTATTCCCCTGTTATCAGGGGACCCACGCACTGCACTCCATGCGCAACATATAAAGTGAGAATCATTTATGTGCTCACTTTGTTTAACTTCAATATAATATGCAGGTCTTCGGTTCAATTTCAGTTTACATAAAATCATCCACGTATTCACTACTTTGGGCCAGTGTAATTGTGCTGGGATATGAAGAGTGCTTGCTTGGAGTCGTCTTCTGGTCCAGGACCCAGTTCCAGTCTTGGAATCTAGGTGTCTGCTTTATCATTAAGGGTGGTACCTTTTACTTTGAAACCATTTGGGAATGTTATGTGGCTGTTCAGGGCCTTCGAAAACCAAAAAACTGCAGTTGGCCTGTCCCTCTGAGACACAGGGTCACGAAGTGTGGGCCTCTGTTTCCTTGCATTCAAAGATGGGATCTCATCCTTCGTTTTTCTTCTTAACACTGGAGAATATATAGTCCTCTGAAAAGCAATGCCATTTTTTTTGTTGTTTGCTGTTTTTATGTAAAAATAGTTTTTCTCAGTGCTTATAAAATACAGGTCAGAGTGTACTCATTTTCATCCTCAGAACTTTTCAGTGACTTCCCTGGTCTAAAAAACACAACCCCAGCCCTTTGCCATGTCACTCGGGCTCTCCGCCAGCTGTGCCCTTCTCAGCCCATGGGTCCCTGCGTCTCGTGCTGTGCTCATCACTCAGACTCACCAGGAATAGCCATGCCTTTGAGGCTTGTCCTCTGCCAGTTTCAGAGCCTGGAATGCATTTTAAGATGCACCCACTTGTCCTATAAAGCTTAGTATAAACCAGGCCCCCTCTGAAAGCTATTTCCAGCTTTTATCTCTCAATTTAAAAATGTGTTCCTTCCTCAGGCTACATTGCTCTATTTCCGGCGTCTTTATTTTGTTCTTTGTGAGGGACACTCACCTATCAATCAGCAGGTTCTTTCATAGCACCTCCTGTGAAGCAGGCAGGTTCTAGCACTGGGGCACTATTTCGAGCAATACCACAAAGGTGAGTTTACAGCTGGCTGGAGGAGAGAAGCAATTACAGATAATTTACAAATAAATACACAAGGTATCTATTTGTAAATTACCTGTAATTGCCAGAGGGAATGGGAGAGGGGACAGTGGGGAGAAGGGTTTTCAGGAACTACTATAAAGGACACATGGACAAAACCAAGGGGGAGGGGGAAGCAAGGGAAGGAGGTGGGTTTGGAGGGGGTGGGGAGAGAATACAGACAGCTGTAACTGAACGACAATAAAATAATAAAAACAAATACAGAAAGTGACAGTGAAATTAACATAAAATATCTGGGGCAGTATTTGACGGAATGATTAGGGAAGGCTTCCCATGGCGGGGATATTTAATCTAAGACTTGAGTGGGGAGAAGGTGGCACTCCTGCAGCAGAAAGGGGGAGAGAGCATAGTATTTCAGGCAGAAAACAAAGCAAGCACAATGGCTTCAAAATGGGAAGCAGAAAAAGGGCCAGTGTAGGGGGAATAGTAAGCACAAAGAAGAGTGTCTAGAGGGTGAGTCTAGACAGCTGGGCAGGGCCTGGTGGGCCCCTGGAAGGAGTTGCCTCTCGTTAGAGTGCTGGGGAAGCATCTGGGGGCCTTAAGAAGGAGAGTAACTTGAAGACGTGCGTACTGCAGAGAGGGGGAATGTCCTTTGGAGAAAGTAGCATAGACACAAGATACCATTTAGATAGCAGTATCCTTAGTCCAAGAGTGCCTTGGACCTGGGTGGTAGCCATAGACAGGGAGTAATCTAGGGTGATGTCCAGGTTTTGGGTTTAAACAACTTCGTGTATGGTATGTCCATATTTGCAATGTGGGGCACAGGGAGGACCAGCTTGGGCTGGCTTCTGGGTAAGAGTTTGACTTATGTGTCTTTCCTATTATTAGATCGGAAGCTTTTCAAGGTCAAAGGCCTGACTTATTAATTTATGTATCTTAAAGTACCATTCACTAAATATGCTTAGTAAATGTTTAGCAAACAGGTTAAGAATTAAATTTTAATGAGATACATGTGTCTTTTTTTGAAAGGGGTTTTGCTAATTTATTTGAGTATCAATATTCCAAATATTAGAAAATGGTATCTTGTGCAAAGGAATGCATTTTTGTGGCATAGGTCAATTCCCAAATTACACTTGCTGCAGTTTCTGAATAATTTCAAGGTCATGTTCAGAATCCTCAAGCAAAAGATAGGAAGAGGGCCTCATAACAGAATGAGGAATTAGACCAAGGCAGTCAGAGAATTCAAGTGAGAAACAGTGCACTTTAGGCTGCATTACAGTTGGCTAAGGAGATGGTTCTAGAGGCATTTGATGACACCATGATGCCTCCTGTTCACCTGGCTTCAGTTAACAGACATATTTTGTCTCTGCCACCCCTGCAACACTCATTTGTAAAAATTC